AGGTCAAAATTTAAGAGTGAGAAACCCTTTTGGCTCCATTTGGACTGGATTATCCTCTGTTCCAGCTGGTTAAACTTCTTCCTGGTAGTTATTTAGTTTTTATTATTTTATTTTATTTATTATTATTATTATTTTTATTTTTATTATTATCATTTTTTTTCTTTTCTTTTCTTTTTTTTTTTTTTTTCTTTTTTATTTATATTTTTTATTATTATTTTTTATTTTTTATTTATTTTAATTTTATTTTTATTATCCTTATTTATGTGTAAATCCTTCTCATATGTATGTTGATCGTTTAATATTTGATGTTTAAAAAAGTTCAATAAAAACAAATAAAAAAAAATAAAAAAAACTTCTTCCTGGTTGAATCCATATTTGTGTTTCTCTCAGAAAGCTGAGATGAATCTTCATCCGGAGGTTCTGACCCTGCTGCTGAAGAGGTTTAAGTTCGACTTCGACCACATGAGATATGTGAAAATCGTCCGCGGGGTGGAGATCCCCCCGGTCCTGACCGTCCCCCCCGACGACGCCCAGGCAAGAAAAAACGCCCCCGTCTCCCGGGAAACGCCCCCCCCCCCCGCCTGAACTCTGACCTCTGACCTCTGACCTTTTCCCTCCCTGGTCACCAGGGCCAGACGTACGCGCTCTACGCCTTGGTGGAGCATTACGGGGACCTGAAGCACGGACACTACACCGTCACCGTCCAGCCCCACGGCGACCAGAGCTGGTACAACTTCAACGACACCTCCGTAACCAAGGTGAGGGCGGCCATCTTTTTTTTTCAGTTCCTGCTTCTCAGAGGCACAAATGTCTCCAATCAGAGGCAAAAAAAACCCATCCCAGACACTGTTTTTTATGCTCTTTTCTTTCTTTTTTTTGACATTTTTTTAATTTTTATTTTGTGAAAGCATTACGACACAGTGGTAGGCACTCACAATTTTTTTTTGTGTATAATATATAAAGTTAAGTAAATTACATATAACGACTTTGAACAAACTGGGGTAGATAGACTTACATAAAAAAGTAAAAAAAAAAGTAAAATATAATGTCCACCATGCAGTTTTAAATTAAAGTGTTAATCCTTAGATACAAAAAACATTAAAATAAAATAAAATAAATAAGAGCAATGCTTAGTTACCTGTTCTGTTCAAGAAAAACTTATTTAACATATATTTTTTAGTGAATTTGAAAGGTGATTCTTTCCATAAGGTAAATGTCATTTACAATACTTATCCACTCCTGTATTGTGGGCATCTTGTGATTGCTTTTTTAACAGCGGTTATCAAAATACCAAATAAGTATTCATCATCTTTCCTGACCTGTAAATCAAAATCTCCTTCTTTTCTTTTCTTCCTGACTCTTCAGGTGAACAGCAAAAAGAGCCGGTGAGTTTCTGTCCGTCTCTCCGGTCCCAGATCCCCGACGGAAATCTGACCCAAAACCTCTCTCCCGTCAGATCCCAGAGCGCCTACCTGCTGTTCTACCGGAAAACGGGCGGGGTGGGAGAAGGTCTGAAGGAAGGCGAGGCCCCCGAGGGCCCCGAGGCCCCCGAGGCCCCCAAACGGAAAAACTCAGAGCCAGACGGAGGGCCCGAAACGGCCTCAAAAAGAACCAGGAAG